TATCCCCTCCTCCCACCCCAAGCCGCACCTCCATCTCCTACCGACCAACCTCATCCCGCCCCCTTGACCTGTCCGTCCTCCCTGGACTGACCTATCCCCTTCCTAACTCCCTACCTACACTCACCTTTCCTGGCCCCATCCCCGCCTCTTCAACCTGTTTGTTTCCTCTCCACCTATCCTCTCCTCTATCCCTCTTCTATCCGCCTCCCACTCTCTCCCTATTTATTTCAAAACCCCCTTCCCCTCCCCCTTTTCTGATGAAGGGTCTAGGCCCGAAACGTCAGCCTCTCTGCTCCTATGATGCTGCTTGGCCTGCTGTGTTCATCCAGCCCTGCATCTTGTTGTCTCGGAGTCCCCCATTGCTCCCAGCTTTCAGTAGTTTATGGTATTTCTGTTCTTTGTAGTATTAATTCTGAGTGAACTTTTTATTCTTATAAACTTCAGTGGATACAGGCTCCATTTGTCTCACCTTTCCTCAAAAAATTAATCCACTCTTCACCCTCAATTCAGTGAACCTTCTCTGCACTGTTTCTGATACAACTATATTCTTAAATAAGGTGACCAAATTTCTATGCAATACTCCCTGTGTGGATGCACCAATACCCTGTATTATGGTAGTAATATTTTGTGTTCCCTTCCCTTTGTAGTAAACAATAACATGCAATCTTCCTTCATAATCCCTTGCTGTATCTGCATATTAACTTTTGGTATTTGTGTGACAGGATACCTAGATCCCTCTGTACTTCAGGTTTCTGCAATTCTCGCTCTCTTTCTCTCCACTTAACGAATATGCTGCTTGTCTATTGTACAACCAAAGTGGACATGTTCATATTTTTAAAAAATTATGCTCCATCTGCCAACTTTTTGTCTAATCATTAATCTTGCTTCATCCTTTTGCAAACTCCTTATGTCCTCTCTTTACTACATATCTTTGTGCTGGTAACAAAAAATCGTGATCATAATGGCACCAATTAGCACTGAGTTGCAGTAGTCCCAGAGGACCACTTTCTCATTATAAAGAGATGACTGGTGATGATTTAACCTTAGGGTCACCATGCTTCAGGTGAGGGGCAGGTTTGAGAAACAGGACCTTCATGGTCACCTCAGCCAGCACAGGAATTGAACCCGTGCTGTTAACTTCACTTTGCATTGCAAACCAGTTGTCCACCCAACCGAATTAACCAACCACAACCAATTAACATAGATGTGTGTTGGAAGGATTTACAAGTTGGCACTCAACCTGTTTGGGCACATTCTAAATGCATTTTCAACAGTCAAGTAGTTCTGTAATGGTCCTTGAACCAGGAGATTTTGGTTCAAGCGGGCCATTGCCTCTCAAAACCTCCTCAAAAAAGTATGTATTAGAACACGCAAAATTACAGTATCCAGGCCACATAACTAGGACTTTCCGTTTTGTAGCCCCTGTAAATGATGCAGCTTCAACTTAGAACAGAGACTGGTGATACTAAACTCCAGAGAACATCAAGTGTAGGCCTAAAATTTGAATCATACAGTAGAGAAGAGGCTTTTCAGCTCATCAAGTCTGAACTGCCAAAAGTACACTATTACCTACACAGGTCCCACTTTCCTGCACTAGGCCCATACCCTTGAACGTTGTGACACTTAAGTGTTCATCCACGTACTTTTAAATTACTTTTTATGCACCAAAATTTGTAATGTCATACTTTTGCTTTCATTTCAGGACTGCAAACCATCAGCTTATGCCCTTCAAACAATAAGTATGAGGAGGTCATGGACATTCTTGTTCCATCTGATGAAGTGCTTTTATTGATTCCTTCCTTCCACAAGCTCATTTGGTTCAATATTCTCCGATGTTCCAACCTCTGTCCTAGCCCAAACTTGCAACTTTCTCAAGGTTCACCAACTAAATATTGGGAAAAATGAAGCCATTGTTTGTGATTGCTGTTTCAAATGCTGTTCCCTAGCTACTAACTCCTCTTTCCCTGACAACTGTCAGTGAATAAGCCAGTCTGTCCACAACCATGGTGTCGCCTTTGACGAGGAAGTGAACTTCCAACCTTATATTCATGCCGACACAAAAGGACCTTATTCTCACTCTGTCTCATTGCATGAATTTGTCTTGTCTCAGCTCATTTTCTGAAACCCTCATTCATGTCTTTGTTACCTTAAGATTTGATAAACACACTACCCTCCTGGCTGCTCTCCCATTTTCAGCCCTCTGTAAACATGAGGCCATCCAAAATTCTGCTGGCCTTCTGTGAGGTCGCACTAAGTCCCACTCACTTATATCTCCCTGTGTTTATCAACCTAGATTGGCTCCCAGTCTGGAAATATTTTGATTTTAAAATACACGTCCCTGACATGGCCTCACTTCTCTCTCTCTGTGAAATCTGTTCTATCCCAGCAATGCTCGAAAATATCCTGGCTGCTTTAATTCTGGCCTTTTGAGAGTCTCTGTTTTTAATTGTTTTATGCAGTCAGACCATAGACTCGTAGCAAAATTAAAGAGGCTGGTTAAAGTGGGAGCCCTTGAAACCATTAATGTGAATGATTGGGCCACATCTATCATACTAGTGATGAAGAAAGATTGATCTTTCTTCACAGTATGCATCTGTGATGGTCTTAAGGCCTGTATTAATCTGGTATTGTGTGCTGAGCAGAACACTTTGCCCTTAATCAATAACCTATTTGTTGGACTGGCTGGAGGTCAGGCTTGACTTAGTGCAATTTTATTGACAAGATATCTCCAAATGAATGTAGATTCTCAGTCACAGAAATACTTGATGATTATAACACATAAATGATTAATCAAGTACAAGAGACTTCCATTTGGAATCACATCTGCGCCTCAGTAATTCCAGTGTGCCATGGATCAGAATTTAAGTGGATAGGATGGAGTCCAGTGTTCTCTGGACAATATTTTACTCAGGAGTAGAATCTAGAAAAGAGTATATCCACAATTTAGATGCTATTCCGCAGAGACTTGAAGATTATAGTGCAAGAAGGAGAAAAGACATAAATGATTGTTAATATCATAAATGCCTTCATTGGGAGGAATGTTGTGTACTTGAGTAAGTATTTTGGACTGGCACACTGAGTCTGATCACGTGACTTCATGAAACATTGTGGGCCATTTTGGAGGCAAACAGTTCAGTCTAACTTAGTGTCTGTAGAGCAGGTATCTCTTCAGTAAAGCTCCTGCTGTTATTAAACACTTTGGCTTCCTATCCTTCGTGAAACGACACAGTTATGTCATATGAATTGGTTCTATAATGCTGCAGTGAAGTGTCTTGAGATATTTTATTCAGTTATTCCTGTGTATCTGCAATGGTTCCGTTCCTAAGAACCTCACAAATGATGAAATTCACGAGTGTGAAGCTTGTTAAAAAGGCATTAAAATCATAAAAAAAGTATTGTGGATATGTGATTTTTGCTAGCGGATGTTGATTTTTGTTGTTACTTACATTTTGGTAAGAATAGGTGAATTCATGACTTTGCAGATACAGAGGATTTACTTTATATTAAATCCTCTTTTATTAATGAAATCACAGGAAGTTCTACTGCCTTTTGTCTTTGCCACTTTGTTACAAAATTTGAAACCAAAACAATTGATGTCTTTGTCATGTAATCAAACTTTACACTATTTGGGAAAGAAGAGATTACTTCATGGTGATGCTTTTGATTCAGAGTTTTGCAAATGTAACACATTCATCTATGTGATTTTTCACCATATTCTCATCTAAGATTTTGGAGTAGATTTGTAGCTGGGGTTGTGGGTGTTGAGGTTGGTTGGCTCGCGGAGCTGGTTTGTTGTTCCGCAGACGTTTCGTTACCGTGCTGGGTAACATCATCAGTGCAGCCTCTGATGAAGCACCGGTGTGTTTTCCCACCTGGTTTTTAAACTCTGGAGTCGGTTGAGCTGGATTGCCTCACTTCCAGTTTTCCTTCGTAGTGGAGTGTATATGGGGTTGCGTTCTATGTGTTTATTGATAGCTTTCTTTGTGGAGTACCAGGCTTCTAGGAATTCCCGTGCCTGTCTCTGCTTAGCTTGTCCCAGGATTTTGGTGTTGTCCCAGTCGAATTGGTGGTTCTCCTTATCCATGTGGATAGAGATGAGTGAGTATTGGTCGTGTCTTTTTGTAGCCAGTTGGTGTTCGTGTACCCTTGTTGTTAGTTTCCTTCCTGTTTGTCCGATGTAGTGTTTCTCACAGTCTCTGCAGGGAATCTTATAGATGACATTAGTCCCATTCTCATCATTGAAGAAGATGCTTATTGCAGTACATATTAATGTATCAGAATCTGTGATATAATAAATTTTATTGTGTTTATCTTCACTGATTGAAAATAGAATGTACTATAGTAATATGTAGAAATAATAATAGAAATATAGGAGATAGGAGTAGGCTGTTTGATTCCGTCAAACCTGCACTGCTATTCAGTATGATCATGACAGCTATTTTGTGCTGCAATCTCATTTTATGTAGAATATTAGTGTCTTTGGGAGTGGGGAATTACACTATCCAGTCATCTAATTTTTCCTAATTTGTTTTACTTGCAGGCCATGTATCTGGCTAATTGGGAATTGATGTTTTAGATCGGGTAAATAACTATTGATGATGTCTTACTGCTCTTCCTGTCTGTGGGGAAATAGAGGTGGAATTAAAAATTCAGTTTCAACGGTTATAAAATCAAACAGTACCAAAAACAGTTTCAACTGATTTCCTTGTCCTAGGAGTATAAAGTTAATGCTGTATAATGTGTTATTACATCAGTCATATTATAAATTTAAGGTACAGTGACAGCCATTGCATATGTTTCCAGTTATCTCTCTTGTCTGATTGTTTTATTGTGTATCTTGGATGACCAAAGGTCACTAGGTCAATTGTGTTGCTCTTAGGTTTCATTCCTACCCTCTTTTAGATCACAGATTCTTACAACTGGAAAAATTAAGAGTTCAGAATTGTGTTAAGTATATCTTAATACCTGGACTCAAGCTCACCTTTTTGCTTTTGTTCCAGTATGTGGATGTGACTTGGCCGAGGGTGGATTTTTTGTGAGGCAAGAGGAATACATCTGTACTTCTGACTATCAGAGGCTGTACGGAACACGTTGCTTCAGCTGTAATGAATTTATTGAAGGTGAAGTGGTTTCAGCTCTGGGAAAAACTTACCATCCAAAGTGCTTCGTTTGTGCTGTTTGCAGGTAAGGAAATACGTTTTTTCAGAATGATAGTAATGTGAAGGCCTAAAGGAACAGGGTTGTTTCTAATTATTAAAGCCTCATAAAACAATCAAATGGTACAACTTAGCACAAGTATTGAGTTGTACTCATCCTGCAACTCTGCTAGTTATGTTGCAGATGTTTGTGGAGTCAAGGAAGGTTCTATGATTTTGTAGCATTTGGTGGGTAGGGACATATTTGGGATCATCTATCCTCAACTAGTTTAAAACGTCCACATGAGTACACTAGAGTGAGTTAGCAAGGAGGGCTGGTGGAGATATCCTTATGGTTGTACCACATTTACTATGAGGAACCCTTCTACTCCACAGTTACCTAAACCTTAGATCAATCCTAGATTGGACTAGTACCTCAGAAAAACAAATTAAAATGGCCCAGCAGAAGAACGAAATGGAAGAAGAACTTCAAAAGCTATGAATGGGCACCTGCTATATAACATCAGTCAGACCTGGATGTTGGCTTTGTGTTAACAGCTGCTCAAAGCTTAAGTACTAACAGTTCTAATATCTTGATTATGTATTGCGGATAACATACAAAAAAAAAGTTAATTAAGCTTGTACTTTATAGAAAATAGGGTAATGTAATAAACCAAGGGCCTGAAGTGCGCTCCCACTAGTACAGATGGTCTGACTTGGTACCTTTACAATAGCAATCTGGATACCTGGCCAAGATGGTGGAGTGTAAAGGACAATATCACTAAAATTGGCTACTTTGGGATAGGCCACAAGCCAAAGTGGGGAACTGTATTGGGAATTAAATAAAATCTTTATAAAAGGGATAATAACAGCAGTAAGACAACACCTTATAAGGTAGTACTGTTAGCCACATTTGAACCTTGAGCATCATCCCAAGGGTCACATCAGTAGAAATGACTGGCGAGGAACCTTGTACATCAAAAATCTTGTATGAGGCCTGGGAACAGACTGGAGAGTTTAAATACATTCCTGTAGATAGGTTTGAGAAAGACCTAGGATGGAAGATTTCTCTGTATTCAACAAGAATGAAACATAAACAAGTGTGTGTATGCAGGTCTATAAAGGTTGATAGCTCGATGTATATATGGGACAGAGCCAGGAAGATTCAGATTGAGTATCACATAGAATTCTGTTTAGGCAAAGGCAGACACTCTTTCTGAGGTTATTTGAACAAACACAAAGTTAATGAGCATACTTGAGTCCTCTTGTGGTCTGTGCAGGAGTTTATCCACAACAGCTGAATGGCAGAAGTGGACTTACTAGATATACCCCTGTCCTTCATGCACTAAACCCTGAAGAAGAGCACAAGCACAGAAACGCTGACCAAATCATTTCCCCTCCTCCTAGCCCTAGCCAGCTCCCATTAGTTCCATTGGACAAGTTATAATTACATGTATATACAGTTAGAGTTTTAATTTAGGAAAGTCATGAATTCATGACAATTTACAATTTTGGACATACCACAAATCTTTCTAGATATCCTATTGCATGTCTGTGGTATATATAAGTAATTATCACAAATTAGTTGGTATTGCAAAGGTCTATTTTGGAGTGTTATTCAAGATCATACATTCTTTGTGTATCAGGGATTTTAGTGTTTTACCATTCTTGTTTATGTCTCAATAAGACCTAAGACAACTTATTCATAAATAGGTCAGCTTTTATATCAAGGTATTAGTCCAATATTTTATATATAGATATGTTGCTGAAAAATGAGTAAATATAGTTAATATTCAATTTAAGTCATGTCTCATTATCATCGGACAACAATAATAAATCTGTAACCTTATGCTAGTTATCTGACTCATTCGATTCACTATTTAGAACTTATTTTGCTGTGTTTTTGTGGTTGCTAAGCAACAGTCCAGCTCCTGAAATGTTGTAACAATGTACGCAGGCTGAGAGCAGCAAACTCTGCATTGGAGCTGGTCATGTTAGTCATTTTTCTTATCATGATTTTTATATGAATTTTTATGTTCATCGTAGTGAGGCAAAATTGGGATATGGAATAACTTTCTCTTTTGGTTCTCAATGGTCTGAGAAGAAAATGTAAGAGGTTGCTTTCTCATGGTGATCAGCAGTAAAAGAAGCATCAAATCATGACAGAGGTGGCATCCAAGGTGAATTGTTGTTCCTGGCACTAGGTACTTCATTTAAGAATCAATATTCATTAGATACGTTCAGAGATAGTAGGAACTGCAGATGCTGGAGAATCTGCGATAACAA